GCCTGAGCAGTGCCTGGAGGGGGCAAGGTGGAGTAGTGGGGAGAGGAAGCTCTCCCTCACACTCACTGGGTCTGGGCTAGGACTGGGTCCCGGAACTCGGCAGAAATTCCTACCTGGCAGGTGGAATGGGGGAGGTGCTGCGGAGTGGTGGGGGCGTCCCAAGGGGGTGGGAGAGGGTCCGACCCAGGCTGCGCCTGGGCTGGGACTAGTCCCGCTGGCACAGGGTAGCAGGAAGCTCTCCCACACACTCACCAGACCTGGGCTATGACTGGGTCTGGGGGGTTCCTGGAACGTGCAGAAATTCCTACTCAGCGGGCAGGGTGGGGGAGGTCATTAATTTCTTTTTGTCAGTCCAAGTCATTTATCCTTGATCAGACTAGAGCTTTTGGTTAGTGTTCTGCTAACCTATATGGCACTTTCTTCCCTCTAGGCAGAGGGACCTCACCCCTCTGGCCAGAAGCAATCTGCAGACCTGGTGTGGCAAGCAGACATCCTCTGTGACAGAGGAAAAAGGACCCAGGCACACAGCATAGACAGCCTGTGAGGTGGGACAGCACCCTACTCTCCCATCAGCTGGGACTGTCCCTGTGCGCCCCCTCACTGGGCTAGGGCTCCTTAAAGATACAGCACCCTCCAAAGCCTACTCAGTTTTCCAGCAGGGTCAGGGGGTCAGGCTCATGAGAGAGCTACAGATGTCTACAATGCCCCACTCCAGTGGACACGCACAGGTGGGAGCCTCGAAACTTGCTGAAATACCGATTTGGTTTGAAACTCTCTCATTGCTATTTGTTTTTCAATAAAATTATGGAGGAAAAAAAAAAAAACTTCCTGAAAAACATTTAACTTTGGGCTTTTGAAATTGTGGTTTTAAGAGAAATGCGTCTATCCTTGACTTTTGAACTCTACAGCGGGCTTGTAAAATTTATCTAGATTGCTAAAGAAGGAAGCATTGCTCAAGGAAGCCAACACATTGCAGTCTAAAACCAAGCCTGCTCTTCCCAAGGGCTGGAGCAATTTGGGAAATGCCCACCCCTGGAAACATCTTCTGGAAGGTCAGTCGGTGACTCATTGCCTTGAAGGCAGTGAGTTGAAGGCCTGAAGGGAGCAGGAGGCACGTTGGCTGGGGGCTTAAGCTCTAGGAGGGACTCCCCCATCCCCCACCACTGATCACAAAGATTCCTAGTTTTCTTGGCTCCCTGCTTGGTTTTCTTGTTCTTTCCTCCATTAGGGCCTTTGAGGTTCACAGGGGGTCCCTGGGCAGGGCCTGCTGGACAGGGGAGTCCTGCCTTTTCCCTTGGGCCACTTACCACGTTGTATTCAGCTACTGCGCCACTCTCTCCCTGTCTCTTGTAGAGGGGACTGTTATGTCCCGTGACCTTCTCCCAGGAGCCATGGAGGTCATAGGCCATTAGGTTGATGAAGTCCAAGTCTCTGCAGGAGACAGATAAAGAAGCAGTGAGGGCTGGTGACTGGGTGGGGCTGTTGGGCTTGGAGTCAGAGGGGGTGTTGGGCTTTCCCCTGGCTCTGTGGCTAGCACTCCAGCCATGCCCATTCCTACTGTGAGGTGGACAGCTCAGATTGTGTCCCCCCCTTCTCCCTCTCAGCCAGTCCCCCCTCCGAAGAAGTACACCTGGGACTAGTTTGTCATTTTGGGGAAACTCTAAGTGCAGTTCTTAAACTTCAATGTGTAACCCCCCTGGGAATCTCGCTAAAATGTAGGTTCTTCCTGGCAGACCTGGTGAGGACCTAAGAATCCACATCTGCCATGCTCCCAGGGGCACCACGGTGAGGAGCCAGACCCATTCACTTGGAGATGCTTAGGGGCTGCCTCCTGGCTCCCCTCCCCTTGTGTTCTCTGAGGAAAAAGATGCAGGATCTGGAATAGTGGAGGAGACACAGACAGCAGAGCTTTCTGGTTGCCTTTTGTGTCTCAGAGCAACACTTACGGGGTGAAGACAGGCTCTACCTTGGGAAGCTCAGTCCATCCTGTGCCTGGCCTGCCTCAGGGGACGTGGTCCAAGTCATAGTATCTGAGTGTGGTAGACATAGAACTCACCGGGCAAGTTTGTCCACCTCATAGCCAGCATCCACATATTGTCGCTCAGCAGGGACAGCTGCACTCAGAAGGAGCCGTTCCTTTCCTGAGGTCCCGGCTTCCTGCTGGAAGGCCTTGGCCAGGCCCTGTGGGGACAGGTCAGGTCAACACTGAAGGCACCTATAGGTGCAGGGCCCTGTGAACTCCTCGCCCAGGGGTTTGAAAACTGACCACAGGGCCAGTCTGAGCTGTGTAAATGTGTGGGGTCAAAACAGCACCCACCTGCCATCACCGGGTGACCCTTGTCCCACTGGCTATACCTGCACTAGTGCTGTGAAGCGCTGCTTGTCTGTGGCTGGGCTGCCCCGGCTTCCTGGGTATTCCCAGTCAAGGTCGAGGCCATCAAAGCCATATTTCCGCAGAAACTTGATGGCTGAGTCTACAAAGATCTGCTGGCTGCTAGCTGAGGCCACCATATCTGTGAACCTGTGAGGTGGTGGCAGAGGGTGAGGGCCTGCCCTGGGCCAGATAGAAGATCACTGTCCCCCTCCAGGGTGACCTGAAATCACTTGGGACACTGGTGTTCACGGGTCTAAGCCAGGAAGAACTCTGGGAGGGCTGCTTCAGGGCTGGTGGGACATCTGTCAGCAGGCTAAGAAAAAGGACAGCAGAAGTGCTTCTTGCCCCTAAAGGTTAGCATACCAGGCACAATGACTTACTAGGTACCAGCTGTTCATATGTCCCTGGACTGTCCCACCAGAATCAAAGCATGCTGTTACCACCCCACTGTCATACCACATGGACACTGCAGAAGAAGACAAAGGTGGGTGTGGTGGCACACACCTATGACCTCAGAACTCTGAGTGGTTGAAGCAGGGGGGTCAAGTAGAAACTTAGGCATTTAGAAACTTAGTAAGACTCTACCACAACATAAAAAAGGGCTGGGGACGTAGCCTGGTGCAAAGGCCCCGGGATCAGTCCACAGTACTTCTAGAGAAGAAAATGGATTGCTAAGATGTGGGTGAGAAGGGAGGTGTGACCATGGTGGTAAGGATCCAGGTAAAGTGAGTCTGCTGGTTCAGTCCCTCGACAGCATTGATACCTCCTCCCAACCTGCCTTAGTAGAGTGTTCCCTTCTATGGTCAACACAGGCCAGAGCTCTCTGAAATCCCACACTGCCCAAGAAGCCCCTCCTCACCTCTTCCTTCCTAGGCTGCTCCATAAGCAATCCCTGCATTTCTTGGGGTCTTAAGTTCTTTACAGACTGATCCTATTTTAATTTACTCTTAATAATTTCTAATACAATTAATAATGGTCATTGTTAGGTGAGGTCCATGTGCCTGGGGACAGACAGCAGGCTAAAAACACCTGCATGTCAAGGAAAAATTGGGTGATAAAGAATATTTGGGGAAGATGAACCAGAATATTTATTAGATTTGCAAAAGTGTTCATGATCTAAGAAAAGAAAAGTTTTAGAAACACCATTTAGTTAGAACCTTGGGAACCTATACTCTGGATTTTGTAGAAAAAAATCTAATTTCAAATATTCTATTCCATTATCTCTATAGATTAAAAATACTATTCCAGAGATGTCAATAGTTTGGCATCTATGTTAGTTACTCTTCTCTCATTGCTGAGACAAATACCCAACACTCAAAATGAGGGAAGGAAAAGTTTATTTAGCTTACAGTTACTGGAGGTTGCACAGTTTAAACCAGCCTGGATTATGAAGCAAGACCTAGAGGACAGGCTGAGGCACTGCCGTGTCTAGGATGACCCAGTCTATACCTCCAAAAGAGCCACCAGGCCTGGGGGGGTGTGGAGGACCACCTGAGCAGCTCTCCTTGAAAGAGCAGCGACTGTCTCCATTTTGACTAAACCTGATCCTATTTCTTCGTATTGATATGTACAGAGCTGGCTAGGACTTCTGTCTATCCTTCAATTGGCCTTAAGCAATGTGTATTGGTCTAGCTGAGGTGCTGGTGATAGTCTTTGAAGGTGGTGTGCATGTTTCCCTAGTAACCTACACTTAGTGCTCTTTCATGTGAGCCGGGTAGAAACAGAACGAAGAGCCAATGCTCTGCGCCACCAGCTGGGATCAAGACAGAGGCTATGAATTCCTGGGGCTTGAAAGACTACATCAAAGCTGAAGCACCAGACCCCCCCAAACATCAGATACTATCTCAATAGCATAAAGCAGATTACTGTCTCTGCATATCCTCTCTGCATATGGCAGAGGTAAATGTAGGCCACCCACCTAGCTCAGCTCACGGTACTCACTTACTCCCCGCAGTTCTCAGGTCATTCCTCCTCAAGCCACTCCTCCACTGAATAAAACTGGGTGAGGCCCTGGGTCAGCTTCTTTGTTCTGGAAAGCCATCTTCGTGGCTGGACTTAGGGCCCTTTGGCTCCCCAATAATTATAACTATGTTTTCGTGTCTTTACTTTTGCCAGGGTTTGCACTGAGAGTGGTAGATTAGAATTAACTTGGTGGGATTCCAATAACATATCTTTGGGATTACAAATATTAACTTCTTGGACTGAGACGAAAACCAGGAAGGGACCCCCTAGGGGGAAAGGGGTGGTGCAGTTTAATGGTTTGTGCCTCTCTGGCCCCACCCCTCAAGTCATACACTGCTCCTCAAGTGGCAACAGCCCCATGAATTTACATGAGGCTTTGGGGGGACAACTAGGTACAAACCATAACAGCGTCCAAGCTCTGCCTTACTGACTACCTAGAAATGGAACAAAACTCTTCTTTGGACAAGATGGGTTGTTGAAGGGCTCAGAAGAAGCCCTGTGTGTGTGCATTATGTAGAATCAACAGGGATTCTCTCCACCCATTTCACAGAGGAAGAGTGAGACCCACCCAACCCTGGGTCTCAAGCGGCCTTGAGACCCACCCGACCCTAGGGCTGGCAGGAGGATAGAGGATGGGCAGGGTGCCCAGAAGATAGGAGAGGAAGCCCAAAGGGTGATCCTGACTGCCTGGGAAGTCAGAGTACTCTGGGCCACTGTAAGTTTTGCTTCTGATAAGACTGGACCTTTAACAATCCCGGGCCACCCACACTTTGCTGTCTTTCTACAGCGCCATCAAGGACTCAGAGGATGAGTCAGCCCCAGAGTGCAGCCCTCCCTCTGCCTGGGCCAGATTCCATGCTGGTGGCTGTCCTGGTCCCCATCAGGGCTCCTGCCTCTCAGGGCCCAGTCCACTCACTTCTGTGTGCCAAAGTTCCAGCCCCCGATGGCTAGCAGAGTCCTGAGCTTGGGATTCCTGTGAATACAAAAGATGTTGAAGACTTAACCCACCAGCTCCCAGGGATTCTGGGTAGAAATTATGGGGTTGGGAGAGGGCAGGACCTGTGCAGAACTCTCTGGGGAAGGAGAAGGTGTGTTTGTGGTTTGTAGGGCTTGCTGTCTTCCTGGGAAGATACCACAGAAGCAAGTAATCAGAGGTCCTCAGAGACACTTTATAAAGATGGCCTTAGCACTTGAGCTAATGGATAGATTTTATAGCATTCCTGGAAGGAAAGACCATCCCAGAAGAGGGAATGAGCTCCACACTCCTGATCTCACTTGGACCTAGACTGGAAGGGCCCTTAACAGTTCCCTAGTCTATTTCACCTCTTCCACAGAGGCATAGGGAAGCCCAGAGGGGTCATGGGACTTGCTGGAGGCCACACAGCAGTTCTGGGGCATGGATGTGGGTTGTTTCTGGCTCTAAGAAGAGCCCCCTGCCCCACCCTGGGGACTCCCTCTTCTGCTGCTGCTCACATCTTCTTCAGGCCGTTGAACTCCTGGTAAAGTTGCTTGTCGTTCCACTCCACCGAGCTGAGCTGGTGGCTGCTCATGCCCGCAAAGGCGTAGATGAGGTGTGTGCACAGGTTGGGGTCCACAGCTCCAGGGAAGAAGCGAGCCACCCCTTCTCGATACTGGGCCCAGTTGGTGAAGTAGCAGACCAGTTTTGTAGCACAGCCTGACCAGTTGGGGGCAAAGAAAGATGTGGCTGTCAAAGGGGTTACTTGGACTGGTGGTGCCCTGGGCATTTGTCTGATACTGGTGGCCCTGACAGTCAGAGATGGCATCTTCTTTAGTGCAGGCAGCATCTCTCAGGAAAATGTATTCAGAAGCCAGTTGTGGGGCCCTCAGGACACTAAGAGGCCAACACCACTGTTGCCACGGTCTTTTCACCATGTGCAAGCTGAGGTTCCTGACTCAGGCATTAAGCTGCTAAGAGATGGCTGGGGGTGTGGGGTGGGGCCAGAACTCAAATCTCCTGACCCCACACATTCTTGAAGGAGCCCAAGCCCCCAGGCAGCCTCCCTGTTCCCAGCTAGTCTCACCCCTCCAGGACCCGAAATATCCCAGCAGGCAGCTGGGCAGCCCCAACACAGAAGCAAAGGACATTAATCAAACTCTTCCTCTGCCAGAGGAAGGGAAGCAAAACTTTGAAATCCTGCTGGGGATACTTCAGTATGTTAATTAAAATGCAAATAAATGCAGCAGCAGAGAGGAGACCCTGGTTACTGGGTCCAATAAGTTTATGTTTCTTTAATCGTGCATCAAAGTGGTTTGCATTAACTTCTTAGCCCTTGTGGAAGAGCTATGTTTATCGATATCAGTACCCAGGCACTAATAAAGAGCTTATTTTATCTCAAAAAAGGCTGCTCATCTCTGGCACCTTCTATAATACATGGAAAGACTCGACTCTCCTTCTAGTGGGATTTAAGGGTGATGGTACCCAAAGAAGTCAGCCCTGTGCTGGGTGGCAGAGCATTTAGGAAAGCAGGATGGATATGGACCATCTGTCCGGGTCTCCTGGGGTGCTGGCCCCACTTGAAATGGCTGTGAGATCTCTGAGGTCTCTTCCCATCCTAAACTCTGACAGGAGGTTTTTATGAGCCAGCATTTATGCCAAAGGCTTGGTAGAATGGCGATTTGCACTGCAGTGTGCCTGGGCCTGGCCTTGAGACCCACCCAATCCTCGGGCTGGCGGGAGGATGGAGGATGGGCAGGGTGCCCAGCAGCTAGGAGAGAAAGCCCAAAGGGTGATCCTGACAGAGGTCACCTGGAGTAGAGCATGTAGGCAGGGCCAGGAAACAGCCCTCAGCAATCTGGATGGAAGACGGGTGACCAGAGAGGGAAGGAGCGGTCAGCCAGAGCTGGGCACCCAGGAAGGAGCCAGAAGCACTTGCTTGTCACATCAGCACACAGCCTATCAAATGCCATCTACAGATTTAGTGTGGTGGCAGCAAGAAAGAGTGGTGGGTAGCAGGGTGTGATGGTGCATGCTTGTCATCCCAGTAACTGTGGAGGCTGAGACAGGAAGAGGGGAAGTTTGGGCCCACCCGGGCAGCTAGGCAATTAGGGAGACTGATTCCAAGTAAAAATACCCCATATAGTCTGGCTATGTAGCTCAGTGTGAAGGCCCTGGGTTCAATCCCCAATACCCCCAAAACTATAAAAAGGTAAATGTGACTAGTAAGAGCAGGAACTGTGGAGTTCGATGCCTCTGCCCTCCTGTGTAACCAAGGAGGCAAATGTACGTCCAGTGCCACAGACCAGCGGGAAGGACACCACGGGATGTGAATTCCCAGACCATGGATGCCCAAGGAGCAGGTGGGATGGCAAGGAGACCCTGAAGCCAGCTTCCTGAAAATCCGCTGGGGCTGGAGATGTACAGCGGCAGAAGACCTGGGTTCCTTGGTGTGAGCTGGAAAATGGGTTTGTGTGTGCTGTGAGCGAGACAGGCAACAGAGGCTCAGACAAGGTTCGAGGGAGGCAAGTGGTTAAGCTGGCCCCAGGGCAGGCAGGAGGTCAGCACGCCTGGCAGAAGCAGGACCCTCCCTGGAGAAGGAACTGCAGGGCTCCTAGAGGGGCGGGGCTTCAGAAGAAGTCCCTGTAATCTGGCCAGTGCTCTTGTAGTGCGTGCGGAGGGGCCAGGTGGGGAGTGTGGCTGAGCCTAGGCAGGGGTTGAGACGACTCAGGGGGCTGGACTAGGGGAGATGTCACTTACCCCACTGGGCCATCAACAGGAACATCATACCTGAAGTGACACAAGAAACAAGGTAGAGGTCATGTGATCATTCTCGAGGTCCCAGACCCCCCTTGCTGACTTCACACAGAGCTAGCGAAAGTCAGGGAAGGCTAGTTTTTCAAGAAGTAAATTTTCTCCTAGGAAGGACTGGGGGCCTGGGCGGATGGGGTGTGTGGAGAGGGACCGGGTGGGGGGGAGCTGGCCAGATCGCAGGGCCTTCCTCCAAAACTCCGCCCCTCTATGGGCCCTGCAGTTCCTTCTCCAAGGAAGATCCTGCCTCTGTGTGCTGGCCTTCTGCCTGCCCACGGGGCCAGTTTAACTGCCCGCCTCCTTCTCTATCACTGGTGCCAAATAGCAAAGGGGAGCTATTTGGTCTAAGCTGGTTCTAGAAGCCGATGATCGGCTGAAGGCAGTGTCGATTTAGAACAGTGGGAAATCAGTGACCTGCGAGGAATTCAGAGAGACATTTTCTCTGGGGAGCAAGAACAACACCTATCCTCGGGCTGCGGCCCACGTAGAGGGGCTAGGCAGGGAGACCCTGTCTCCAGCAGCTATGGAGCCTCTGCCATGATGTGTGACTTCCTGTGGCTTTCCCACCACCCGCCCAGAGAAGCTGGTGGCATTAGTGACATTTTGGGAGATCTAGCAGTGGCAGGCTCCTCCAGAGGTTTCTTCCACCTTCCTGGTGACCTCAGCTTTTCTTTTTTTTGTTTTTTCTAACTAATGGACACAAATGTTTACTAACTTTTAATATCAGAAAAATAAAACTCTTATAATTCTCTGTACAGCAAATATATAATATCAGTATTTTGGCCATCTTAAGTTAAAGGTCCTTTATCATAAAATACATTGGTTTAAACTTTACTTAAATTGAACTTATAATCCCTATGACTTCCTTACGTATACGTAACAAAAGGGTGTAGTAAATTAGCAAACGCTAAACTACAGTAATAATTCATCATTTTTAGTTTGTGGTTCTTAGAAACAGCATACACAACTGATATATGTCAATTCCTTAGTTTATTAGTTGCAGTGTACAATGTAACAAAATACACAGTACATGCTTGGGGAACATTCATTCATATCTACAAGGGGTTGGCGAGATAGCTCAGTGGAATAAGTGCTTGCCTGGCAAGCGCAAGGGCCTGGGTTCAATCCTTGGCTCTGAAAAAAAAAATTTTTTTTTTTTGGGCCAGGGAGATAGCTCAGTAGAACAAGTGCTTGCCTCGCAAGCACAGGGCCCTGAGTTCAATCCCTGGTACGGCAAAAAAAAAGTATGGGTTCATATCTACAAGACAGCTGATAAAGATTAGGTTTCAACACTGACATTTAACTATCCCACAAGAAATTAGCATTATACCATAGTATGCCACCAAGGCAATTTTTATACTGAAAAAAATGCAAGTGAAAACCATTATTTGTAAACTTTAATTTGAAATGCGACTCTTTTTTTTTTTTTTTTTTTTTGCAGAACCGGGGATTGAACTCAGACCCTTGCACTTGCCAGGGATGAAATGCAACTCTTGAAATGGAAATAAAAATTAAAAGTTGTCCATTCACTATTGAATACATATAGGATTTCAATTTTCACTATACTAAGATAAAAACTCTTGTATGTTGGGAAAATAATGCTGCAAAACATAATTATAGAAAGCCCCACCAGTCTAGTGCTTCATCCTTTCAGTGCCAGCACAGATTTGGGAACATTCTGAGGACTACGTTATAGACAGCCATAGGTGAAATGTACAAGCCTATTTTACAGCAATCTTTCCTTGTGATTAGAAGCAGTTTTGAAATGAAGTAAACTGGGGCTGGTGAGATGGCTCAGTGGTCTAAAGCACCTACTTAGAACAAGCTTAGCAAAGCCCAGGGACCACGGTTCAATCCCCCAGCACCACATGCCAGCCAGCCCGCCCCCTGGTGGACTGAGCTGGCCACACACACACACACACACACACACACACACACACATACATAAAATTAAAAAAAAATTAAAAAAAAAAATGAAATGAAGTAAACTGACTGGAGGTCCCAGCTGCTTTCATGAATTATTCCAGAGGCATTATAATCCCCCTCCCTGCCCCTATACACTAAAAATAAAAATGCATTTAGCATGTGCGAGACGAATATGCATTGACCATAAAATGTTTCACATTTTTGTTCTACAGTCTAAAAATTAATTAATACCTTAATCAGACTAATGAATGGAATGTTCGTATCCTCAATTATCAACCAACATAGGTCCAGCCCAAGGCTCTTCTGGATGTGGAAAAACCCAGGTGGCCATTTCCACATTCATGAAGGGAGGGAATGGGTGAGATTCACAATGAGATAGTGGCATTCCTGATCCTCTGACCACACCAGCCTGGAACACCCTGGGAGTGGGGAAGGTCAATGTAGCAGTTTTCAATCCAAACTATAACCAGTGAGCTAGTAAACTGCCATCAATCCTATCATTACAAGTAATCATAATGACTTTTTATTTTTATTTTTATTTATTTATTGTGATTGGCTCAGCCCACCCTGGGGGTGGGGCTGGCACAGCATGCTTGCCTAAGTTTGCCTCAGCAGGCGCTTTAGGCTGCTGAGCTATCTCGCTGACCCCCACAATGACTTTTTAAAGTTACTTGTGATCCTGCAGAATTAGGCATATGTTGTTGGAAAATAAAAAAACAAAAAAATCTGTCTTATCAAAACCAGCAACGTAAAGAAGGCAGCTCTGGAAGTGTCTAGTCACCTGTAGCGCAAAGTGCCCTCCATGGGCTTTAATGTGATCAGGCCTTGGGACCCCTGTCTGCAGTCTCAGACTATACACTTTCCCCATGGCCAGACAACCTACGGCCTTCACTCAGCCAAATTCAACTTCACCTTTAGCGATTCTTACACAAGCTATGTCTCTGGGCCTACAGGACAGTATTGATAACTCAAACCAAATTGGCACACAAGAGACCACTTAACCTCAGGTTTTCTGTTAACCTAATAAAGCCTGCAGGAAAATTTGCAAGGACATCCAGGACTACCGGGAACATGGGATTAAAGGAAGCTCTTGGTATCCAGGGGCTTCTTGTTAAGGCCAAAAGTAGGCACCTGAGCACACAGGAGACACGAAGACGCTCCTTGAAGGACTCACTGATTCTGGGTTTCCAGGTCAGGAAGAGGAAAGTCACTAAGGACTCTTTGAGGAGAACCTTATCTTGCATCTCAGAGACTCTGGGACTGAAAGAGGGGGACCCAGGAAAGACGGCCAATGGTTTGCAAGCCAGCCCCTCCCCAACTCCAAGCCTTCCTTCTTCCTCACAGACAGTTTCAGGGAGCTGCGGGCCAGCGGGCCTCCATTTCTCTGGGGCTGCTGAGGCCCAACCCACTCCCCCATCTTTGCCTACATACCTGCCCAGGCCACAGACTGCGCCATGATGCCAGCTCAGCAACAGGAGAACTCAACTTTCCCAGTGCTGCTCTGCTCTAGGTGGCTGCTGTATCCCATGCTAGCCAGGAGTATCGAAATTCAGAGACAGAGGAAGGAGCGAACTGGGGGTGGCACAAGGAGGGAGTATGTCAAGCAGTGGAGGTGGGAGGATTGAGTAAATCTGACACAATGGTCTTTAGCAATTCTGGCTTTTTCTGGATCTTGAGGTGTAAATTGGCCACTTAGTACTGTCAAATTGGGAGGCAAGAGGAAGGCCAGAAGTGTTTGTAAACCTCCTGCTGGGCTGAGTATGACCCTGATCTCCTCCCTGTGTGTCAAGAGAGGACCACAGACACGCCCAAACCTACGAGGCCTTTAGAGAAGAGAAATAACTCCTGAGCCAGCCAGTCCCATTTCCTGCTTCTCCAGTTTTCTCTTGAACTCGGTATCCTCCTCTGTATGCTAACAGCACTGCAAAGGAAACTTTTCACAGTAGTGATTTGGAAGGGGCAATACTGCGCAGAGCTACATCCCAGCCCCTTACAAATTTTCATTTTGAGGTAAAATCTCCCTAGGTTGCTATGTTTCCCAGGCTGGGTTCAAACTTGTGATCTTCCTGCCTCAGCATCCAGAGTGTTGACATTAGAAGTGTGTTCTACCACTCCAGGCTTGATAGCTTTATTTTTATTACCCATATGATAGCAATATTTTATACTCACTCATTAAAAAAACATAATAAATTGTACCTATGACTTTAGCAATTCTGGAATCAGGGTGTGGTGGGGCTACGATCCCTCTGGAGGCTCCAGGAGATTCCTACCTTACATCTTCCAGCGTCTGGTGCCTCCTGATGTCCAATGACCTAGGGCAGCATCACTCCAACTCCACCTGCCTCTGACCCTCATGGCCTATCCCTAGGTTCTTGTTTGTCTTTTTCTTTTTTTTTTTTTTCTGTCTCCCACAAGGACACCCTGATCCTGGATGATCTCATCTTGAGATCCTTTTTTACCTCTACAAAAACATCTATGCCAAACAGGCCCACGTTCTGAGATTCCAGGTGGAGCTACCCTTTGGGCAGTCACCCTTGAACTCACCACCAGCCCTATCTACGTGCTTACTTGTTACTCAGTCTGTCTGTAATATCTGATGCCCAGATTAATTCAAGTCTCCAGAAAAACCCTGCCACTTCTAGAGGTTCCAGGTTTGGGCCTTGGTTTTACCAAGAATTGTCTGGTGGTCAAGTAGGCATATCCAGAGGTGGCAGGCTCCAGAGTCAGGCTCCTGGGCTTGAGTGCCAGCTCTGCCACTGTCTGTCTATGCAACCTTGAGTGAGCTCCCTAATTTCTCTGGATTTCAGTTTCTTTATGCCTAAAGGAAGTCCCTGAGAGGGGTGTTGGGGGTGCACAGTGACTGTTATTCCAGCCTCTCATTTCTACCACGTCTCTGTGGGCCTCAAAGACCCATCATCTGGCAGATACCCTTCCTGATATCCCCAAGAGGAATGGCTGTGATGCCCAGGCAGACCGGTGCTATGTCCCTCCTTGGTCATGGTCTTTGTTCCCCTGTTGCTGTCCCTTCACAGGGGACCCTGCCCTAAAGCGTAATCAGTCACTTCCAATCTGGTGGTGCCTCAGGTCCCAGGGTCATGGCAGGCAGGGATAGGTAGATGGCGGGAGTAAGGATGCAGCGGCCCTGAGCCTCTCTCCTCCACATATACAGCAGCCTGCCAGCTCCGTGTGCTTCTGCTTCAGCTCTGGTCTCCAGGAGAAGCCGCTGTGGGGCCAGGCGCTGAGCGGTCCCTAAAGTCCCAGGGCGCCTGTGTGCCTGGCAGCCTCATTGTTGGCATCGCTATCTCGGTTAATGCAGCTGTTTCTTCTTATTATTACTGCTTTATTATTTGCTTTTAATTTTTGTCCTATACCATTTCTTTTTTCAAAAAGGTGTATAGAAACCGAATATTTGCAAGCAAGGTCCTCTGAGTTGCTCTGGTAAGAATGTGGGAGTGTACAGAACCTGCTGGGGAGCTCTGAACTGTGTCACCTTGATGAACACCCCCTTCTCTAGGCTCCTAAGGGGTCCCACGGAGCACCCCACCTGATGGTTGGTCTCCACCCACATACGGAAAAGGCATGTATGTGTCTTTTTCCCCTAAAACCCACAGTGAACTTCAGGAACTTTGAAACATTGAAGACATTTGCATTTAAAATAGAACAAGGGGCCGGGGAGATGGCTCAATGGAATAAGCGCTTCCATGGCAAGCGCAAGGGTCTGAGTTCAATCCCCGGTTCCACCAAAAAATAAAAAATAAAATAGAACAAAGATGAAAGGGACTGTTCTTACTGCTGGGCATTATTTTGAAGTTTTGGAGTATCACACAAAGGAAAAAAAAAGTGTGTGTGTGTGTGTGTGTGTGTGTGTGTGTGTGTGTGTGTGTGTGAATGACACGGTTATCAATAGTTGCAGATGTGTTTGGATATCTAGAAAACCCTTAGGTTTTCCTAAACTAGAAAACTAGACCAGAAATAATAGCTGTGTTTGCTAAAATGGATGGAAGTAAGGTAAACAAGCAAAATTGGAAGCTTTTCTCTATATTAGTAGGAGTCAACTACATGTAGAAACGAAGTGTCTGATTATAGTGTCAGAATCTATTGAATATTTAGGAAAAATGTAACAGTGATAAGTTTAATGGCAGAGTCTGAAACTTACATTGAACATAAGCCTGCAGGATGCCTTGAACATGCTCATGCCTGGAGAACATATGATAAAAATAATGGCAGTTCTTCTAAGGTAGGAAGGAAGGAAGGAAGGAAGGAAGGAAGGAAGGAAGGAAGGAAGGAAGGAAGGAAAGCAGGCAGGCAGGCAGGCAGGCAGGAAGGAGACAGGGAGGGAAGGAGGTGCTTATGTGGAGCTTTGGGAACCAGAAGTTGGCCAGGCAGGGAGCCAAGGGCAGAGAGGCCTTGACAGTGCCTGGATGTTCGCTGGAGCAACAGCTCAGCAGGAAACTGCGAGGACAGTCAGATCACTAGAGTCCCGTGTCCCGCTGGCTGAGAACCACTGGTGAGATCAGCAGGCTGCGTGGTCTCTGCTGCGGGCTCTGAAGGGAAGGCACTGGGCATGGCATGCTGGAGAGGACGTGAGTGCAGGGCCGCGTGGACTGAAGTCCAATCATGTCTCAGGCTAGGTAGGGCACATTCTATACCGACCCGATGGCCAGGCCTGAATTACTGGATACTGTGAGGAGGAAGTTGCTGCCCAAGGCTGAGCTAGGAGCAGAAGATAGGCTCTGTCCCATAAAACTGGACAGGAAACAGAGTTCCCACCCACAAAGTGGGTCTCAGCCCTAGTCCTGGTCATGTGTATATAGAACTGAGTGACCCCTCATGCCCTCATCATGCTAGCAGTCACAGCCTGCTGTGTCTTCACCCCCGGCCCACTCCCTGGCCCTCAGATCTCACAGATCTCCGTTAGGATCCAGCCTTGCTCCTCTCCAATCTACTGCCCACAAACTTCCGCCATCTCTAAGCAACCTTGTTTGTCAAGATCAGGAAAGACCCCCATACCTCAGGCTGCACTGGCCCCAGCCCCAGGCCTGCTGAGCTAGTGACAGAGTCCAGGTGAGGTAGCGTGTGCCTATAATCTCAGAACTGGGGAGGCTGAAAACAGGAGGACCACTAGGAGTCTGAGCTGTGTAGTGAGACCCTGTACCAAATACATAAATTAAATATATATATATATGGAAAGAAAGAAGCACAGCTTGGAAACAGACAGACCTGAGTACCTCACCGGACTCGTCCCAGTTACCCTGGGGTGCTTTCTACTCCCTTTTTACCCCCAACAGCATCTCTCACTCCTTTCCCAGCCAACCCTTCCAAACCAACCCAAGTAAGTCCAGCATGCTTCATACAAAATAAAGCTTCGAGGGGCTCGTCCACAGGACAGACTCCAATGTGATCGCTCTGGAGCCGCAGCTGGCTCACATCCATTCTGGTGGGCTGGGCTGGGGCTCATCACAGCCACTCTAGGCCTCAATTGCCTCCCCTGTAAAATAGAGGTGACACTACTTCTGTGATTGTGATGTCACACAAAGTGTGAGAGGGCTTCATAAGTGATGAGGTGACAGCCAAGGCTTGTTGACATTGCAGTCATGATGGCTGTCACCATGCCTTCGTGTGCGTCATTGCACCTCCAGTGCTGGGCTGGCCACAGCCAGGCAAAGCCAGGCTTATGCCCAGAAACCCTGTGTGAACATATGGTGCGCCCTCAGTCAATGTCCTTTGCTGACCCTTCCCATCCCAAGATGCTCCTCCCCTGGTTCTTCCTCATAGCAGGAAAAGGCACTGCCAGACACGCAGCTCCTCTGTCACACAGGGAAGGTCCCTCACCTTTCTCTTTTCTTGGTGCTCAGTGGCCAGCTGTGACTAGATGTCCACCCTCCCGTTTCATCTCCTCCACCGCCAGTGTCAGCTCGTGCCTTGCCCATGGCCACAGCGTCCCTCCTGCTCTCCCTCCTGCCCCTGCAGCCTGCGCTGCACACACAGCCACTGTGCTCTCTGAGAAGGTAAGTCAGACCTGATAGCTTCCTGCCCACATCCCAGAATGGCTCCCACCGAACTCAGAATGAAACACCAACTCCTTGCCTTTGCCTCTTGAAAATTCTGAGTATGCTCTTGTACTAAGGCCTTTGCAGTGCTGTTGGCCTCTGCCCAGAGCCCTCCTCCTTCCCACCCAGGCTTTCTGTGACACCCCACACAAGGTAGCGCCCTGCTTCCAGGCCATGCTCTAGCTCATGCTGCTGACTTGTGCTCCCCTAAGTGCTTTCAGGGGATTTACTCACTCATTTCCATACACTGTCTTCCCTGTCGCTAGAATGTAAGCTGTGTGTGAAAAGGGACTTGGCCTTATTTGTTCCTCTGTGGGTGGTGCCTAAACTGTTTCTCAGCACTTAGCAGGTGGTCAATTCACAGACTGAATGAATGAATATGGTCTTTGAGGCTCTTCATGTTCTGCCTGTTGTAATATTGTGGTATAATAAGAAATCTGTGTTTGGACCCTTC